CCTGCAATCTCTACATCTATCCCTTTTTCATCTCTAAGTAAATGTTCAGCAAGGATCCAGTGAAGTCCCTCTCATGCGTAAAGTTCAATGGGTGCTGGTTTCTGGAGCCATCACTAGAAGAATGGAGCAAGCGGGCTGTTACATTAAAGCTGCTTTTGAGCTTCCATTACCCTAAAAGGTCTTCTGCTTTGTTTCATAAATATTTGTAACTTGTGGTCATAACTACCAGCCAGCTGTCCTCCAGCCTTGGAATGGCAATGTCTTAAATGTTACTAAGGTGTAATGAACTTAAATAATTCGTAATTTTTCATCTTGACTTTATAATAAATGTGTGTTTAGCAGTTCGGAATGAATGGCTTTAAACACAGTGATGTTCAATGCAGTCTCTCTCTTTTCATGAAGTTTACTGACCTCTATAGCTTTCAGGGGCCCAGAGAGAGACTTGTGCACATACTTGTCTGTATGTATGGGTTTCTATCTCTGGTGCCAAATCTTCAGCTGATATAAACTGTCATAGCTCTGTTGACTTAAATAGGGCCTGTGATTTACACAAGTTGAGGATCTGACTCACAGACCTCAGTATGACTGTTCACATATTTAAAGGTAATAGAGCTTGCAGGCTCAGAGCTGGTTCACTTGGAATTTTGTCCTAGGAAGAGCATACTAGTTTAGTCTAATACTAGGGAAATCCATTGTTAAGACTGAGCTATTGTAATTTAACCCGCGAATGTAATACAATTGAAATCGTGTTAGAACCTGAGGCAATTTTTCATCTGAAACATTGTCATTTACAATAGGTGAGGTTCTGGAGATTTTATATTTCAGATCAGATGCTGCTCTTATGCCAATGTGAAAGCAGTCTTTAAATATAGAACTTGGTGCACTATAAGAACAGAAGATTGTGACTATAAATAGCTCTAAAATCATATTTGAATACTTGGTCTGATTATATTTTGTAATACTTTCAGAGAAACTCTATGCAGAACATAAAAATACTGCCTGTGTCATCTGACTCCTTTGATGCACCGCATTAAAATTCCCAAGTCTAAGTGCATATCGTGGAGTCAACTTTATTTCTCTTCTATTAATAGTTTAAAAATAGGTTACTGTTCTTATAAGGATGGGCTAAGCCAGAACAACTAATTTTAAAGAAACCACCAATATAAAAATGTTGGTTGTTTTGGGGTTTGGTTTTTTTTTTTCTATTGCTTGCTTACAGTGACACCATTCCTTATCTGTAAGAAGTGATTTTATGTCTGTTCTGGCATATGTATTCTATGCTGGCAGGTTTCTTTAGATTTGTTTATAGTGACCCCTGCTGCAAAAGATTGAGACTGACGTTTCTCTAAACCTTTAAAAAAGCATTTGCCCAATTATTTCAGAGTTCAGTTCAAAAGAGCCAACCAGTCGTAAAATCGAGTATATAAAATCTGAAACTCTGTCATTTGGATAATTTGCAATAAAATTACTCTAATCATAGAAGGCTTTTTTCCTCTCTTACCTGTGTAGGATTTACTTTCTAATGCAATGCATTATAGTTATAAAGTGAAACAGCTTTTCATTTCCCAGATGGAATGCTCGTTCTATGGGTTATTGTTCTTTGATAAGGGCTAGACTTGACAGCAATAAATCTTTGTCTGAACTGCTGCATGGTAATGTTTTTAGAGCTCCATTCAGGAAAGCACGTGCTTACGTTTATCTCTATTCAGGATAGCAAAACAGTAAAAGAGCAGATTAAAGCACAGGACTAAGTTTAAACACAGATTACCCTCTGGTTTCAGAAGGACTTAAGTGTCAGCCTATTCCAGTATTGCCCTGAATAGAATGCTTTCTCCAGCTCGTGCTTGGAAATTCTTCAGCACAAGATATGTGTATGTGCTCTTTTACAAGCAAAAGATCCACCTATGCTCTACAATGGCCAAAAGCTGTGTAGCTGTAGCTAGTGCAGCACTTAACCTGAACTAATCGGCCCTAATGGGGACTGCATGAGCTGCAGCTTTATGCTGCTGCAGCTGTGGTAGCAGTCTGCAGGCTGGACAAAAAAACTATATAGTTGCTCACAAAAGACACTCCAGGCATAACTATGGTAAAATCTCTGATCTGTATATTAGTATAAGAGTTATCATGCAATTATATATGCCTGATATGTTTTTTTTTAAATCTGTGTTTAAAGAGTAGTATTTAGGCTGCAAAGCCAAGCAGAAAACCACAATTAGAGCTCCTTGTGTAACCTTTATACTGCCCTTTGTGCAAATATTTACTGGTAAATGGAGGCTTCCCATGGAAAATTGAAACTAACATAGAGAAATAAACACAAGGAGGCAGAATTAAAATCTGAAGAGCAACCTGTGTTGTCCTTTCCCCCCAACTGAGTCCTTCATGTTACAGTCTCAGCAGCATTCTCCTATGGCTGAGTGCAATTTCATATGCCTGATAGAAAATAAAAGCTAAATTGAGCACAGTTGTCCCATATCCTGTATTACCAGTGGGGACTGAATCCTGTATCTTTTCCACAGTAGCCACAGTTCAATATACAACCAGTCAAGTTTGTCATTTTATTGCAGGGTGATGGGTTACGAGTCCTAACAGTGGTCAGTGGCAAGAAATTCAGCATACCTGCGTGTCTTTCTCTTTTTTTGGGAGCTGGAAAACTTGTGCTACCTGAAATGTCAGAAGGGGAGAGGAGCCAGAGGGTCTTCCTCTCTCCCCCTTCAGAACTGGAAGAAATCCAGTCCATCAAAGTGTTCCCCCAAATGTGCCATTGTAGGCAGATGCTGGATTACTTCTGGTATGAGAGTGCAACCTGGTTCTTGGCCACATTGCAGGAACATGCTGAGGGTTGTATGGTCTATACTCAGCCTTCATAAGCAATGTAATCTATACTCCTGTTTCCTACCTCAGTGCTTTGGCAGCTCCTGTGTTAGCTTCTGCAGCGATTACTGCTGCTTACGTGATGGTATGAACTGAACCATGAGATGTTCATGGGGCTTTTTTATCATTTTGGCAGACTGACAAACGTTTCCTTAGGAGGTCAACTGGGAGAAGAGAATTGGTGACTTTTAACAGTCCATTTCTCAACAAAACATGTAGTGACATAAAGGTATATGTACACAGAGGAGGCCAGAAAGACCCTGCCATTGCTCTTAGCTTGTCAGATACCAAAAAGGCCTACTCCAGAACTAAGATAACTGCATGAATCTAAGCTAATGAGCACTCCTGAGAGGCAGGGTATGTTAGTTTGGGCATGGTGCCACATTAATGTGACTCTACATCTTCCAGACGGAAGCTAGCTTATATCTGGGCAGCTCAGAGTGTGAGCAGAGCTTGCTTTTATCTATCTGCACCTGTCTGCATGGCCTTACAGAAATAATATCAGTAATTTCCCAATTAATTAGCAAAGGCCTTTTGCAAACAATGCAGACATAGGAGCATCTGCCAAAAAAAGCACCCTGCTTCAAAACCTCCTCAATTTCTTTTTGTCTACAGGGCCTAGAAGAACGTGTCTGTCTTGCCAATGTACTCTCAAAGTGCTTTTGTAATACCCATCTGGTTTTGTTTTCTTCTGTTTCTTCCTGCCTTGTATTTATATTGAAAGGTCTTGAGGAAGAGACCATCTCACTGGCTGTGTTTGTACAAAAATACAGTTTGATGGCATCCTCATCTGTGCCTCTGACTCCTAAACACTGTTGTGTGCCCAGCAGTGACATGGGTTATTTGTTTTAAGTAACCATTTGATTTGAGACTAATGGAAATGTCAGTCAGTAGAAGCAGAGATCTGTCAGGAAATAGTTTGCACTGTATTCATGTTTCTACTTGTCAGCTGGACAAAGCACTGATATTTTTATTTTGTGTGGTAGTAAGTGCTTGTTTAATGGAAGCTCCATGTCAGTGTTACTATTGCCACTACTATAAGCTTATTGCTTTGGTCATATAGTTAGACCTTACCTCTAGCCTATGCACTGCCTACCCAGAATACTGATGTGACCTCCGCTGTTGCAGACTTTAAATGCCTCACAGTGTTTGCAGCATCTATCATGATGCCTTTTCAGAATAAGGGTACACTACACTCAGATCTCAAGTTGCACTTTAAGGAAGACACTGCAACCAACTTTCTTAGCCCAACTCCTACTGAATCTACTGGCCATTGCTGTGTAATTGCTCTGTATGCATTTACAGCAGCTCTTCTTCATGTGTATGGTTGGTGCAGGGTGTATGGTCCATATGATGTGCAGTCTCTATGCACATACAGCATGAAATATCTGTTGTCAGAGTGTGTTTGAGTTGCTTCTGAGTTGCTCCAGAACGCACAGGTATTTATTCTCACAGCCTTTTTGTTTTCCCGTTGTGAAGAATGACAGCAAAGACAAATTATGTGCCTTGAGCAAAGGTAGAGAACCATATCCTGCATCTTCAAAATCCATTGGTATTCTAGTGGATCCGTTAACTGTACAGCTGTAGAGAAGATAGTGAGAATGTTCTCCCTATTGATCCAGCACCTGTTTTGCAGGATTACTCCTGAAGCTCTGTTACATGCTAATATGTCCAGTCTGTATACCTAAGGGAATGAAAATGAACTAAATCTTGGAAGGAAGATAAGGAATACTAAAGGATGTTTAGACTCCAGTGTAGGCTATTGTTCCTGAGTTACTGCATGCATTTATCTCAGAAGAGAATGTCTCTTTAGAATCAGCAGCATATTGTGGTTTAGAGATGGCTAGAGGACAGCTCTGCTTCTGTTGAAGTCAGTTCTGATTTTTGTAAATAAGTATGCTCAAGATTATAGTAAGCTGTTTTCTAGGCTGCAAGTTTTTTTTTGGGAAAAGTCACATTTGGGCGAATCAGAATTAAAGTGGTCATCCACTGAACTAGGAAACCCCATTATTCCTGTACTGTGATCCATATAAAAGCATTTATCCTCTTTATTTTACCATATATATGGTATATATATGTATATATATACATATATATGGTATATATATGGGGGGGGGTGTGTGTATATATATATATATTTGCTTGTCAGTTCTCTGCATGTGGGACCGGGATGCCTCAGAGGCAAATCAGAGTCTCCAGTTTCCTCTGCTGGCTCTGCAGAAGCACCTGGGTCAGGACCTTCAATAGCCATGAGGCCGCGTGTCTTGTTACAGAGGGACTAAATCCATCACTTCTGAAAGCAGGAGATGATGCTGGCAACTGAAGGGGCCTTGAAACATGTTCCATTATTCCTGCCTGTTCGAATAGCAGCTTAAGTGCTTACAAATTGATCAGATGCTTTCAGCAAGCTATGAAAAGGGCTATGGTCTAGGCAACATTAATCTGAATCTCAGACTCAATTTCCTCCTCTGCTACAGCTGTCCTGTGTGACCTTCAATGAGGGACTCTTTCTGTTCTTCGGTTCCTTATTGTAAAAATGGGCTACTAATAACATTTCCTAAAATGGCATGTGAGGATAAATAATGACTATCATACACTCAGGTATTAGCACATAAAGGGGCTGCATAAGAATCTTGAAAACTCCTGCCAGAAAGATTTTGACCAGTTCCAGTCGGTGCCTGGACAGTAACAGTCTGATGTTTGCCATGTTCCCTGTCTGTCTGTTACTTAGCATGACAGTTCATACAGGCATACTTAAACCAAGTATTCTTGATTTAATTCCAACCAAGTAATTCTAAGTAATGTGTGGATAATTTTGGAACAAGAAAATTTGTATGTAGTCAAAATGTAGTCATAGTATTAGATATCCTGATGCAATTTGTCATTTAGAGAACTTCTTTTATTTGTCAGTCATCATTTCCTCTCTTTTCCAATCTTCGAAAACAAGCTGGTGCTTTAAAATCCAGAAGAGGGTTTTTATGTGTGTGGCCAAATCCACACAACTGTAAAGATGAAAATAAGAGTCCCATAAGGCCTTTATCACCTGATTGAAATTCCACTGTCTTCAGCAGAGCTTCAGCTGGAGATGGATTAACCTGATCCTAGATGAGAGCTGAGAAAGACGCATCTCTTGCCTGCAGGGAGAGATGTGTTTTCCCTTTAGATGCAGCCCTTCTGGAAGTGATGATTGCCAACAACAACTACTGCTAGAATACCCTGCTAGACCATGGCGTGGCCTTCACCGGGTGAAGTTAGAGCTTGGTTTTTGGTTGTAGTTCTAATGTGTGTCAGTACTTTTGCTAGCATGGCAGCCTGCAGTTTGGTTAACAATACTTTGAAAATGTCTCTGCTAGCAATCCTAGTAACCACTATTTTAAATAACTGCTGTCAGTCTTGCAGACTCAGCTGCAATATCTGTTCAGTTTGCAGTGTGCGCAGTATTTTGTAACCAGGCCAACGTTTTAAAAGTAACATAAACATATGTAGTGCCTCATCTTTGCTAAATTTAAAGCAGTGTCGTTAGGTTTAAGAAACAGTGATCCAGCAACGTTGGCTTTAATAGTACTAACAGGCCTATAAAATGGCCAGTGTGGTCGCTTCTGTTTGTCTTGGTTATCCTGCAGCATCGCAGGTAATTCATTCTCTCACAAGAAGTTCCAAAAATTCCAGTGAATGGAGAATGTTGCCACATAAAACTTGGTTGCTATTTCTGTAAGATAACTATTACAGTAACTAACTATATATAGCCAGAAGTAATTGCTTCTGTAAATAAAATACCAGTGAACACATTACAAGATTAAAGAGAAACTTTGAGCTTCCATCACAGCTATTTGCCGACTCCCACCCATATACACACAATGACTTTGCAGTCATGGCTCTGCAATACCAGAAGACTTAATTTAGGATGTGCGTGGCATGTTACACTACCTCACATTCCTAAATGAAGTGTTCTTCCATTAGCTGCTTAGTTTTCATTTTAGCTGGCCACTTCACCTTTCATTGGTGAAGAAAAGTACAGTCATTTCACCAAGTATACTGCATTGCAATTACTTGTTAATCTTACTTTATAGTTAGGATTTATAAATGTATGGTAAAGACTGTAGGTGACCATGGGGATTTGGATGTATTTTTAGAAAATATTATTTTGAAACTCCCATTCTTAATAATAATAAAAAAAGTCTTTAAAATGACAGTTATAGGTAGTAAAAACAAGATAAATTGCTGGAAGATCAGATCAGAAGTGATGCACCTTAATAAATGTGTGAGCAGTCTTTAAAAGGGAAAGTGATATTAAATAACTTGAATACCATGCTGATAGAGGAAGAGATGCTGGTTAAGTACCTTTGAAGGTAGGCTTACAGTGATTTCTAGCATTTTCTAGTGAAGTAGAAGAGTTATTCCCTATGAACTGTGGGGGTTTTGCTTACCGCTTCTGGTAAAACTAGAAAGCTTGTTCATCCTTCATACCCCTTACTGGGAGGGAGTTACAGGGCACAACCATAAGGGTTTGAAAGTCCCTTTTTCTTCTTTCCTAGTCTATCATTATTTAGACCAAGCTGTTTTTGCATCTGAACTTTTCAGAAACAAGTCTATTCCCACAAAAGACCTTTTGCTTCTTGAGTCCTTGTTGTTTCTGTTAATATTATCATAAGAACTCGGAGCTGCTGTGATGGAGCAGGATCCTACCAAGCTATAGGTAGAAGAGCAGACCAGTATTGTGTGTATTTGTGGGTGTCACAGTAGAGTTTGGAGTCTGAAACCCAGTGGGCAGATGGACAGATGTCTCCAGGGAACTGCTAGGCATGAGGGCAGCATAGAAAAAAACCACTTCTGCTCTTGAATTAAGACATAAGAAAGGAGTTTTGCCTGCTTCTAAGAATCAGTGATCAGAGAAGGTGTTGACATTTTATTAGGAAAGAGCCATTGTAGACGGAGTGGGGATGGGCTGCGTAGGAACCTGAAAGTGAAAATCAACAGCATGAGTTTATGCTGACAAGAATAAATGAGAGCAACCAGTATGTTGTTTTAGGCAAAAACCTACACAAATCCTTACAACATTCCGAATGAACAGGAGTGATGCAGGAATACATCTGTCATAACTAAAAAAGCAGGCTGATGCTCCTTTGTGTCCTTGACAGACTGTGATTGAAGATTTCACTGCTGAAAAAAATCAGCAAGACAAACTCTAAAGATAATTCAGAGTAGATGACGCCCATGTTATTAGACCTGACAGTAGTGTGACAGGAAAGGTAACAAGGAAGATTCACTATGGGAAACAGAATTGTATTAACTTGGTTGTTTTGTCTCTTTGTATTTGAATACTTTTTGCAGCAACTCACCATCAGCTCTCCCCCAAAATGCAGATATTTGTGTTCTCATTTTGCCATCAAACAAGATGGCACCAAGGAACAGCCCATATTTTAGCAGTGTTGCTTCTGTAGCAACAGTAATAAATGCTGTTGATGGGCAATAACCTGGTGTCACAACAGTATCCCAGTTGTAAATACACACCATAGCAGAGAGTACTCCCATCACTCTCCCTTTGTGTGCCTAGATAGATCTCTTCTGCCAGTTTGAGAAATGCCTCTCCCTAAAGTGCCTTTGCGAGAAAAAGTGAACTGGAAGATTGTAGGAGGAACACACACATGCGAGTCTGTGTTTGGCCCATTAAAGGAGGTACTGAGTGAGTTTCCTGTAGAGTTTGGAAGGAGCCTCCATAAAATTAAGTCAAATTTGGTTTCCTCTCCCAAGAGAGCTTTGTGAAGCTGTCTTGTAAAGCGGAAGGATACGAGCACGTAAGTTGAACAGCTGTTTGAAGGGCAAATCTAGAAAACATTCCTATCAGGGACAATTCCAGAACATGTTTAATCATGCGGTGTAAATCAGTTCTGTATTTCTCATCTGCTAAGGATGGACCATTTGTGCCTTTCCACTGCAGTAATTGCACTCTTGCCGTGCAGTCACTTGCTGCTGCTTAGTCTCCCTTGTTTTCAGCTGAAGCTCCCTGAACTCCCTCATGTCAAATAGAGAACAGAAAGCTGTACGTGCACAACATGTTGTTTTTTATTCTGAAGTGCTTTGCTGAAGTTACTGATGTCTTTTTAAACTGAACATGCGCTTCACTACACAGCTTCATGGCTATGATACAACTGCAAGTTGTCTCCTGAGGTAAATAATCATTCCCCAGCTTAGCTAGAAAAATAAAATCCTTATAGAGGGTATTTCAGACAGCTGGCAATAAATAAATTGTCATCCACTCCATGCAATCTACTAATAATGAAGAAAGAGAAGAAAACCATCCATATTTTATATTCCACATGCTGATGCACTGTCCTTATGGAAAAAGGTGAGTGTCAACATGTCACAGCTTGCTGACTTCAGATGCCTTTCTGAACACTGTCTCTCATCAGTAGCCTTGTATTCCCAAAGTAACGAGTATTAAGTTTCAGCGAAAGGCTTGAACTATCCCATTAATAACCTAATGGCTGAAGTAGGATTCAGTGGGTTTTACTGAAACAATCCCAGACCTGAAATATTTGAACTCACTCATTTCTGCTTGTCTTTTTTCTCGATAGGTATTCATGTGGATCCAATCACTGGATAAATTTCTGAATCAGCAGAAGACATCTGAACTCTTTCCAAACTAGAGGTCATTAAAATTAGGTATTTGAATCCTTTATATCTCAGTACAGTGCCATAGCTTTAATAGGTTTTAAGTACAGTGGGAGCTTTGCTTCATGATCTTGTCATCATCACTGGACACCAGAACTTTAATATCTTAATGCATTTGATATTGTTAGTTTATGTCCTTTTAGAGTGAGAAGAAAAAAAATCCTAGACAAAGTTTTCTTGAGGAAAACACCTCATTTAAAACTTACAACTTTTAAACAATTATCCTCATTTTTCCAGACTTGGCATTTCTTAGATCACAACAAAATGAAAAACCCACGCCAAAACAAACTAGGTGATGTTTCGGTCCTCTGCTTCTGTATTCAGGCATAGAATATGCTACTGAAACATCTGGAAAAGGTTATGTTGTTAATCCACACATGATATAGAAATGTTTGGAATGATACTCAAATTGTATGTAAAAATATTAGGCAAAACTAGAAAAGTTTCTGTCCAAAATAAGTATTTTGTAAAGTTATGAATACATCAGCAGAAACTTGGAAAAATGGGTTAGAATTATAGATTAAACTCTACATTGATTATACTGGGTAATAGCTGTTTCGGTGATAATAAATACTTGCTGATTATAAAACCAGTTTTTAACCTGATTGATATCCACTCTTTCCTTCCTCTCTTCCTTATGACTCCTTAGTGCAGATCACAGCTTTCTGTATTTTGGAGCAAGTGTAAGCTACTTCCATATGTTGGAGGAAGAGTTACATAAGGAAACTGCTCCTTTTATTTACAAATATAAGTTTAATAAATAAAGTGCCATAAAGTGCCTACATTTCTCCCCAGGCTAAATCTAGTGTAAAAATTCTAATGCAAACTGGAGCATAAACCAGAAATCTCATGAGTCTGAACGGGGTATAAAGATACGTTAAGGACAGTATAAATAAACAGATTAAGTAAATGGGAGAAAACAAAACTGAAACAATGATGTGCTACGTGATGTGGATAAACACATACTTTGAATTATTTAGTTCATGAAGAGTGAAGTGATGTGGGGACCGTGGTACCTGCAAGAACAGTCAAATCAAAGACAGAAATATTAGTATTTTGTCTATGCTACTATTTAAAGCATCACGTATAGGCTTTTAGAGGCAGTAAGTTTCTTTGGCTTTTCCTAAGGATGGGTGAAGGACACTGGATTTCCCAGACTCAGAATGTTAATACCATGGGTACTGACAGTCTCCCAAAGGACTCCTTCAGTTATATTAGTATTAGGGATGGGAAACACTTTTCATGAATAGCACTTCAGAAAAATGCCATGCCTTTATAATTCTGACATACATTTTCATCGAATTGTGTTGACAGTTATGGTCAAAAATAAACCCACAATTTTTTTTCTTGTTGTTTGGAGTGTTTTTTTTTCCAAATAAACACTGTAAATAATCTAATTTAAACATTTTTATTAACATTCAGTCTACCTGGGAAAAATAATTCATATAACTTCTCTTAACTTGGATTTGTTAAGATTTGGCAGCCCTACCTTTAATTTCTTTGGATCAGTTACCTATTGACTTTATGAGAGCAGCATTAGGGCAAGTATACTGCTATTAGTTCATTTCAATTCAGATAACAAGAAGTAACTGCCATAATTGTCATAGAGTAGATGAAGGCAGACAACTCTCACACATTTCTTTTGGGGTGTCTGCTTTACTTAGAAAACAACAACCAAACAAACCTTTTTTCGTATGAAAACTTTAAATTCCATGATGGATTACTTTCATTCGAGAGCTAGATGGGTTTCAGATACTGAACATTTGTAGTCTATGGTATTCCTTTTTTCTTTTTGCCTCAAACTCCTTGATGTGTCCAAAAGCAGAAATATTTATGGGAGGAGAGCAAAAGGATGTCTTTCAGAAGTTATCTACTGAACGTAGATAAATAGAGATTTGTTTGTGAATATGTTAAAACCACATTAAAATTAAAAAAAAAGAAAAAACCCACAAAACAAAACCCTGTTGTTTTCTTTGATTTTCGTGAGGGAGAAAACCTGTTTTCTAGGTAAATCAAATAGTTTTTCTTTGCCGTTATGGAATAACTATCATATCCTAAAATGAAAGTCAAGATGGTGCTTTGAGAGTAGACATGTGAAAGCTTTGTAGATTGCTATGTTTACAGAGGTATAATTACTAATTAAGTAGCACTAACTCAGATGCGTAGTGCTTTGCTTGGGCTCAGAAGTTCCCTATTACCTGTGTGTAATGGGAGTGGATCGTGCCGTCTTGCTGCAAGCATTCTGCTTTGCAGGATTACATCTTGCTTTCTGCCCTTCTTGTGCTGTGTTAGAAGAAACTGGGATTGCACTGAAGGAAGAGAATTCCTTGTATTACTTGAGAACTTCTACAGGCTGGTACAGAAAAGACTAAGAAAAAAGGATGAAGCTTTTAGCAGGACAGATAGTGGGGTGGGTATGTTCTCATCGTGTAAATGGAGAAGAAGAATGGAGTATGACAAACTTAGAACCACACCCACAAACATAAAAAGGAGAAAGAAAAGTAAAATAACCCTTGGAGAAGGAATTATGACCTGCTGATTCTTTGTACCTTTATTCTGTTTGTGAACTCTCAAGTCATGAGTCATAGTAGTTTAGTGGTCAACTGTTTTCTATTCTGTGTTGCCAGTAGAGGCCTGTTGATGTCTCTGTCCACAGCTCAGTGTTTTCTCCCAGTACTGACTCCCTTCCTTCCCTCAATAGAAGTATGTTAGAGCAGAAACCATTGGTGGACTATCTGTGTCTTAAAAAAGTTGAAACTGACACCTATGCTAGGAAATGAAGCTTGGCTTTAACAACTTTAAAGGCATAAATCTTATGTATTTGTGTAGCTAGGTGCTATGTTTCAGTTCTGCAAAGACAAGTGCAGGAATAAGTTTACTGAAGAGTCCCAAATCTTGACATTTCAGATTGTGTAGTGTTACGCACATACACATAGGCCTTTTTAGGCTTTGGGCATCATTGTAACTGGCTAAGGAAGCCAGGTAGGAAACACAAATCAGTGTGCCCTGCATCCTGAGTGGCAGTACTGCAAATACTGTAAATCATTACATCACCTCTTTATTCTGCCTTAATTTCTCAATTTTAAAAAGTTTGGGTTCTTGGATATACAGTGGGAAAAGGCTGGAGTAAAGCTGAAAACTGGGGGAATCACGAGATACAGGTTTTATTAATGACTGTTAATGACTTCATATGTGATTTTAAGCAGGTGATTAGAACTAAGTTCTCAATATTGTCCACTTGAGATATCTCTAGTCATATATTTTACAATTAAAGCACTCAAAATTTAGAGGCACTTCCAAAATGTAGCGCTTTAATCATTCTCTTTCTCACTCCTCTGCTCTGCTCTGTAAGGTGATGATGATACCTACTTTTGAAAAGCCTTTTCTTTTTTACATTTAATTGGTACTACTGAACAAATGCATAATTTAAAATCATCCAAAAAATCAGTAGAAGCTGGTCATTATAGTTACACCTTGGACACGCTTATTACTCTGCTGCAACTTAGCAGCTCTGAAATGAGTTTGCCTTGGAGTGTCAGATACTCCAAACCCTATAAGGGTTCTTGGGTAAGGCAGTAGGATGAATCCTAGCAATGCTTCAGTGACGTGCATACACCCTGCCACTATTTCCTTACTACATCCAGTGATGCCTGTGCACTTAAATATGAAGTTGTCCTGACTCAGAGCTTCCCTTACTTTTTAGATTTCTTCTGGTGTACTCACATGAAATGGTTCAGCAGCACAGTAAGTCTTTCTAGGCTGTTCTATTGGTGTGCTCTACCCTACCGTATGTCATATAGCTTGCAGTCCTCTAGCGTATGTGGAAGTGGACAGTCAGTTCCATTTCCTGGAGGCAAACACACTCAGATCCCCTCAGAAAGTTTCTTTTTGGGAAGTCCACCTGAAATGCGAAACGCTTTCCAATAGCAACTGTATTGTGGTACTCTAGAGAGAGAAATAGAGCAAAAACCAACAGGAGTATGGATAAATGCCAGCTGATCCCCAAATGCATTGAGTCCAGCCTCAAGGGGCTATGGCAACCTGAGAACTAGCTTTCCTATGATGAAAGGAGTTGCATTTATCACTAGACAATGCTTGCTCCTTGCCTGTAATTGCTTAAATGGTAGAGAGAAAGGAATGAAAAGGACCTGGAAAGGCAAAACTCAAGTTCACGTTCCTGGTTTCTTCTGGTCCTACTGCAGAGAGAGGGTTGTACCTTTAGAAAAGCACTAACTCCAAGGCTTACCCTGTATTCATGGAGAGGCTGTTCTAGGGCAGGGGGTTCTCTCCTGCAGCCCAATCCATTCCAGAATTGCCTCCCTGGCACTCTGTCCCACAATTAGCAAGGACAACCTAGTCCATTGTAGTCTTGACCAGTGTTCATTAGCTGCAAGTTTTCCTGCCCAAGAAAATTCTCAAGATGAGGACTGATAAACCAAGAACAGAACAGATCTGGGTTTTACCCTTCACAGATTTCTCCAGCAACTCCATGTCTAGACTAGAAACAATTCTGCAAGTGGCAAACCTGCAGTGAATGTTGCCAGCAATGAAGGCTGCGTATGTCAAGGCTGAGAGGATACAAGTACTTGACCAGGAGGAAGCCTGTTTTTGTACTGGGGGTATGTTTCCAGTGTAGAAATACCACTGTATTTTACCAAAGAGATGTATAGTGCTAAAGGATTGTATCAGTATAATAAAATCACCATCCACAGGCAAGAAAATGGTATTTAAAAAATCCCACAATGGTGAGAGTCCTTGGCACAGCTCTGTTTGCGTGGGATCATACTGCTCTGCCTAGCTGAGCCAGAAATCTCGAGCCTAGCTGTGACCTAAGCATATGTTTCTGCAACTGGTGGTGTGCTTTTGTAGCACATGCAGGTATGCTTAAGCTGGATGTAATCTATCCAGCTCAGATAAGAACTGCTAGGAAGGTATAAAGTCATGGGTTTCAATCTTGGCTAGCAAACCAGGTGCATACCTGAAATCAGGCTGGCTGGTAGATATTGCACTGTGGTCACCATGCCTCTATGTCTGCCAGAAATAGGTACCTTAAAGCTGAAAATCCTGTAGTCCCACACTGGTTGCACTATAGAGGTATTCTGAGAGATCTATACCCAGTGAAAGCTAACAAGTTGAAGCAGTGTTTCATATGTTCTTTTAAAAGGGGTTGGGAAGAGTACCAAAAGTATAATTAAACTAGAGACAGTAGGAGAGCTAATTAATCACACACTGACAAGATCTCTTTTGCTGAGACATTGCACAGGGAGCTTTGGGAGTGCCTTAAGTAACTTTCTCAGGTACCTGCTTTGTGAGTGAAGAACAAAGTAGTAGGAAATTGGCTGGACACAAGGGAAAACTTGGAATGGAGTTGGAGGTTGGACCAAGCTCAGTGGGACTGGGCCTTTTCTTCCTCTTTAGAAAAGATGAATGAGATACTGGTATACCCTAAATTTCATTTTCAGCATGACAGGAGTGAAAAAAGCCCTTGAAGATGCTTTTTTTTTTTTTCATAACCATGTGTCCAAAACTAGATATCTAATAATAATTTGACTTTCAAAGACAGTCAGCGTTTGCCAGCAATCTTTGATTTCTTGCCAGGAAGGGGACTGATCCCACTGACACTCAACTATTGCCCTTACATAAGCATTAATTTCAAAGGAATTCAGTGGATGTACTCACGCTAGTGAGCATCTTCACATACATGATGCTCGGAAGATGTTCGTGTCTCATGTGAATTCAGAGCCAAAGTTCCTCAAATTTCACAAGGGTTATAACTTGGGTTCTGGCTTTTATTTCTTTTCTGACATAAAGATGTTTCTGAAAATCCATCCTGCATGCAAGCCTGATTTGATTCCTTGTGCATCTGTTTAGTATAAATATAAGAAATGATGGTCCTTTTAACAATAAACCACCCCAAACCTCTTCTTGTTCTTTCACATTGCTATACTTGGAAAAGCCTAAAAGTTTGCTGACGTTTCCCCAAGGTTTAAGCAGTCCTTCAGGAAAGCACTAAAACCGATATAAGCATTAGTTTTGTAAAGACTCATCCAAATATATTCCTCTGCCACTGTAAAAAAAAAAGTAAATCCTCTTGAAAATCCGATCAAACTCTCTATCAACTTTGCTCAAGAACACTTCAAAAGCAGTTGCAATTGTGGCTGCAGGAACTGAATAAAGCCTATTGCGAGTCCTGGAAGGACTTTACACACTCTGTCCACCAGATAGTGCTGTTTCTCCACTGAGCCATTGAGGATTCACAGGCCAGGGAAAGGTCAGGGGCTGACTCGAGGTAACAGACTGCCGCCCGGTCCCTCGTCTCTCCTTGCAGCTAAAGGAGGCGCAGCCG